AAGCAAGACCTTGCAGATTCTTCTAGTCCAAAGCATGGAAGTTACCAGCGGCAATTGTGAGTGCTGATAGAAGTGGTCAGGTTTTACACGATCAAGGCAATGAAATCCTGAGATTTTTCCCATTCCTCTGGAATGGCAAAGATTCAAGTTGTTGTGTGGTGGAGATGGACTTGTAGGTCTGTACGGCTGGGGTACGGCGTGCAGCTGGGGGTGCGGTAGGCCCCTGTGAAACCTCAGCAGATGGAGAGGGAGAGGAAGAACTCAGTAGGCGCAGTGACTCAAGGTGATCTCTGTTTTGATGTTAGAGAGGGTCTCTCTCTCTCCTTGTTATTGCCTTCAGGATGTTGTGGAGAAGAAACTCATGTAGAGGAAGAACTCAGTAGGCGCAGTGACTCAAGGTGATCTTTGTTTTCATGTTAGGGAGGGTCTCTCTCTCCTTGTTATTGCCTTCAGGATGTTGTGAAGAAGAAACTCATGTTGTGATCCTATGTGGGGATCCCTTTAGGGGCTTCCCACACCCTGCAACTCCTGCTGCCTCATCCTACCTAAGTAGGAGGCTTTTTACCTACCTTCGCGGTGACATTTTTCTGCTTGCAACTCCCAGTTTTAAAGGAATTAAAATCTGTGTGTGCACCTGGAGTCTTGGATAACATATGCATGATGAATGTAAAAATTATTGTGAAGCTGTGTTACTCGGTTTGGTTCAACAACTCCTGTAATGATCTCCCGTATGGATGTCTGGCAACAACAGGAGGGAGTGTGCTTGGACACTGAGATCCTGATACTGCCAACACTGGATTCAGTGGACTATTTGTTTTTTCATGTTTAACTCTCTGTGGCTAGGAGGGAAGGGTGGTGTGTCGAAGACGAGACTTGGAAACAAGTACGTGCATTGTGTGTGACCCAGAGCTGAGTCTCTGAAAGCCCGGTCCCAAGTGCACCAGGCTGGGGGAGAAACTTCCCTTGATCTCTTTGGACTTTGAAGCAGATGTCTGAGGGCGAGATCTGCAGATAGCTCAGCTGCACCTCGACTCTTGTTGACTTCTATACAGCAGAAGCAGATGCTGAACCTTTCTGCTGAAGTGGGGCTTTGAACTTTCTGTGCTTGTTTCCCCGTGTTGTAACAGTGGAAGAATACCTGTCTTTTGCCAGTGGATATCAGCCAGATATCAGATAGCGCATCATCTGGGAAACCTTGCTGGAATATTTTGGTTATTTATTAGCATGGTGCTAAACAACACTTGTGATTACGTGCCTCACTGAAAACAGGAAATCCATGCAGCTGGCTAAGAATACATCAAAGTGAAACTATCATTTTTACATTCATCATGCAAAAACCCAAAGCGTTACGTGGCAGGTTGGTTTGATAATGGAACAAAACATGATAAAGCTTTTATTTTGTTTCTGAATGCTGGCGTACTCTTTTCCAGTACCTGCAGGGAGTAACTAGCAATGGAAGTAAAGTTCAGCTAACTTTTCTTTTTTGTTTCTTTGGAGCTTGTACTTATTATTCTTTTCAGTCACACTGGTATTATGAGGAAAAATGCAGAGAAAGTGATGCCCTACGTTCTTGAGCGCAGAAGTAACTCTGTTTTGCAATGTGTGTTGGCAGTGTTCGTACATCCCTCCCTGTGCAAGAGACGATCAGGAGAACTCTGAGAACGTCACGTACAAGCAGAAATACTGGAAGGAGAAAGTGGGTTCGCAACCATTTACATGCTATTTTAACCAGCACTTGAGGTGAGTAATCTGCATTTGCATAGGCAGAAGTGCTTATGCATCTGTTTAACAGCTGTCTGTTGGTTCTGTTTGAAAATATATATAAATACATGCATATGTATATACACACACCCCCATATAGTGATGTGGTTTATCTCTCAGAATTTAGCACAGAACTTTGCAAGACAAGTCTGTTGATGAAAAGCTATGTAGAAAACGGAGAAGTGTTTATACCACTCGAAGTGAAAATACGAAACTCTGAGGAAAGTTTCCCTTAACACATGTCATTTTATGGCAAAAATCATCTTGGCTTTTAACTCTCAGATAGCAAATTTCTGGCTTGGATATTAACCTTCCTTCCCTCCATGAAAGAGAAATCCTACTGTGTTCATGAGGGGCTGGAAGAAAAGGGGACATCAGTAAATAGTACAAACCAACTCAGTAATTGTGTTCATAGAGGTTTAATGAATCAGATGATACATATAATAAACGTTCACAGAACTTCCAGTTTTCATACATGCTTACAGAGCAGAAAGCTGTAACTTCAAGCATCTCCTCTTCTGTTTCACTTCTTACTTTTACTACCGATGTTGATGTGATTTACATGTGTATAAGTGTGACGTGGTTCCCTTCCTCCGGTAAATGGGAAGAGGAGGGAGTCCTTTTGCCTGTCTCCTTCTGCTGGTGATGTGCCAGGAAATAAAAGGTGATGTGGCAGCAGCAACTTACTGTTATTGCAGTGTGGAGGCTCGCTGGAAGGACTTGGGAGAACAGTAATGATTGGGATGATAGGTACATGTAGACAGGGAGGTAGAAAGAGAATATTTAAGATCTCCAGATCAGCCAAGGTTTTATGGGGTTTAGATTCCAATTTTGGGGTCCACACAGGAGGAAAGTGGCTGCCAGTGTGTGGTTGGACCTTGGAGGAGCTGGGGAGCTGGAGCAGAGTGGTAGGCAGAGAGACACCCAGCTCTCCTGGGGGTGGCCCTCTGAGTGCAGTGGGGGCTTCAGGTTTGTCCTAGGCTGGCTATGATTGTTGTCCACTCCCTGGAGAGACCATAGACCTAACCGGTGTGCCCAGGAGGAGAGTCTCTTGTCCCTAGTTAACTCTTTGCAGAGGGAAACCACCAACGCTTTGTAGCAAAAACTAGTTGTTTCTCATAGGGGGGAAAGCAGCACTGCCTACAGCATGCAGAGCTTGAAACTTAGGGCACCCTGTGCGTTGACATGAGACCTGGCAGGGACCTTCTTGGGAGCTGCTTTGGTTCACAAGGTGCCAATGCTTGGGTCTGCTAACCAGGAGCTGAGTGACGGTTATGGCTTTTTTTGGGCGGCAGGTGCTGCCAGTTCCCTGCGGTGCTGAGACCTGGGACCTGCAGCAGCCGCTGCCGGAACATGGGATCTTCTGCAGGAGACCTCATGGCTAGGATTCATCTGAGCTGGTGTGGACAAGATGCTGTGAAATTTAGCTTTTAGAGTCAGTGGAGAGAAATAGAAGCCTTTCATTATTACCCCAAAATAAATGCCTAATATAGGTCAGATACCCAGAGATGTTTACTTCTCTCCTGTAAGGGATCTCAGAGTGATCTGCTCGGGTGCAGGCACCTGGGTGGCTGGCGTCCAGAGCTGGGTGAGCTGGTTCTCACATCACATCTGTCAGTGAAGCAAAGACAAAATTTTTCAGAGACTGTATACTGCCTAGGGTCTGCCTGTCTGTAGGCTGACACTGAGGAATTGTGCAGCACTCGGGCAAGGTTTTCTCCTTATAGTTGCTGCATCCTGTACTGTTAAATGTTCTTGCCAAATGCAGCGGCTGCCTTGGAATGCTGCCTTTTGCTGATCATACAACAATTTGTACACAGCAGAATAGAGTCTCACTGCCAGAGATACCTGAAGATAGTCTAAGCTGAAATGTGTACACCATCTATTTTCTTCTGGAGATAGGGATGAGCTTTGAGAGATAAGTTTTGCTGACTAGGAATATGCCTGCTTAGGTATACGTTTAGAGCAATGATGACTAAACAGCTTGTGAAGCAGCAAAAAACCATACAAACTGAGAGAAAAATCGGTTCACTTCAAAAGAGAAGTGACTATTTTCTGTCAGTATTTTTTTAACTGTGAGGATGAGCTAACTCTTCTGTGTCCGTCTATACAAAACATACAGAATACAGTGTCAGGTTCCTTAGAGGCAGTAGTATGTGCAATATTGATACTTTCTTGAAATAGTGGAATGAAATTCTAGGTAAATATCTGGGCAATGAATGAACATTGTCTTCTCTTCATCAGACTTGGTTTAGCATCATTCTCAGAATTGTTGCTGTATGCAGAGCACACTGTTAGGTAACACCTCCCCCCAGTTTGGTGGGGCACATTTCAACGGACTGCTTTGAAAAGAAGAACAACATGATGCCATTTATATAGTTCAAAGTTATACAAAAGGAGTGAGAAGCAGACTTGGCAAATTCAATCATTCTTGGCTAATATAAGTAGAGAGGCCCAGCACAACTAGCCAGCTGACGTTTATCCTAGGGAACCAAAGCGTGGCTTAGCTTGGAGCTCAGCGTTTTACTGGAAAGCAGAGTTTTGTTTTGCCACTGCAGGCACTTCCCTTTAGTGTCCCTCTCGCCTCTGGCTAGCTTTGGACCAAGTGGTGCGAACTGCATGGGAAAGTTGCTTTTCTGGACCCCTGGTGAAGGTGTCTGTCTGTTGGTGTGATGATACTCCGGTCTGAAGGGAACCCTGCCCAGCAAAAACCAACCCCCAGTGTTTCAGAGCACGAAATAAATGACAAATTCAGATAAAGTTCTCAGGCTGTTGCCAAAAGTTTGAGAAGGCACTGAGCTCTAGAGCTTCAGCGTTCATGGATCTCACACCGAGTGTCCCAGGGGGTCTGTAGTCCTGACCACATGCAAACAAGGTCACAGCTGCGTGCCCTAAAGTGGGAGGCCTGTGGGAACAGGTGGGATGGGCGAGATCCTCTCACTTTATTTCTTCACGTTCCAAGTCTCATTGACATCAACAACAAGAACAAAAAGAGAGGAACCAAGATCTCCATCAGCTCAGACCCCTCATTCTCATGCCATGCAGAGGCAGGCAGAACAACATACGCCAAGTAATTTCTTATTAGTGGCTCATTTATGTGGCATTATTACTTTTTAGCTCTGGGTTCGTCCAGTACGGCAAGAACACTCTGCGATTCCTTTGCTGCAGAGCAGCAGATGAGCCAGCCACGCTTTACACTTCTCTGTGTTTACTGTACACAAATCCACCTGAGGTTTGAAGAGCAAGCGCCGTCTGGTGATCAATGACCACCGGTAGGGTGTTGGGGTACCCTGCAGGCCACGCCGCTGGGAGCGGTTATCTGCAGAAGCCAAGGGTGCTCAGGTGGTAGGGCTGCTCATTCATAAATGGTGGAACAGAAATCTCAGTTTGCTCTGGTACTTCACAAAGTTTTCTAAACTAATTCCCTCCAGTCAGAAGATGGTGTTGCTATTTCGTGTCTTTTCTTTGACTGTATCACCTGTGGAGCAGTGCTCGGGCCTGCAAGGGAAAGGACTTTACTGTTAGTAAGACGTAGCACTGCCTCTGCGGGCAGCCGTCCAGCTGAGGATCTCTGCGTCTTACAACAACAGGGGAAAACGGTACCGATGAGGGCTTGTCTTAGTGAAGGGATGTGAATAATTGCGGGCAAAATAAGTGTATGCAGATTGCAAACATCTTTAAATCCAGATTGTATGAATAAAAAAAAATATTTGTAAGATTTCCCTATCCTGTGCCCCTGCCTCTGTCAGCTTTCGCTATGTCACATAAATTGCAAGGTGTGGTGCATAAGTGATGACTGAAATGTTTTCCTGCCTGTACCTTTTTGGTCCTACATGACTTCTTGGTAGTGCCGGCACTGCGATTCTTCCCACAATGTTCAGTAACTGCTCCGAGGGCTCTGATGGAGGCCTGCTTTATCCAGTGTCTGTCTGAACGGCTTGGCAGCCCCTAACAGGGACGTGTTGCATAAGGCAACAACTAATCCAGTCACCCCGGTCAGAGCCCCACGAGGCTCCAGACCTCAGCTCAAAGTCCTGCTAAATATAAGTGCTGGCCTCACCTTTCAGCAACGTGAACAAAATTCTTCCCTCCTTGTCTGTTCAGTGAAAGGGAAAGGTGTGTTTTCAGAGTTAAGGTGGAGACTTTTAGGGCTTTTTTTTTTTTTTTAACAGTTTGTTCATTCTTCTTTCACCCTGGGGCTGCTGCTGGGCAGGGGTGGTGGTGCTGCACAGTGGCCGTCACCGTTTGCAGCAGAACCAGGTCTCGATGCCTCAGCAGGACTTGAAAGTACTCAGGCTTTTTTCCACTTTTTATCCCACTATGTCTCCCTTGCCCCTGCCACTGTATGATTCACTGGTAACTGGTGTTAGGAGTTTGGGTGCATCCCCTCGAGAGGCTTTGCATTTACTGGAGAGCTGAACAGCAGCATCGCTAGAAACAAGAGATGCTCCGTAACCGAGCTTAGGGGGAATGTGTGCAACCCCTCTGGTCAACATCTTTGAACTGAAGTATTCTATGGAAGTCACAAGGCAAAGATGGGTTTATTAAATGCACAATACTTGCAGGGACAAGGCAATATCTTTAATTATATCTGCTGATTTTCACAGGGAAATGAAACACGTTTCCAGGCATGAGGTACCTCTTTTGGGTTCAGCATCGCTGCCTCAGCGCCAGGGAAGCAATGCTGGGTGGGGGCTTCCAGCAAAGCTGCATCTTTGTCAGGAGAGGCTTTCCCCTGGGGACAGGGGCACCTTCCCTTTTCTGTTTCCAAGCCAAACCACAAGCCTTCAAACTCTGGGAACAGGCAGGTCGCCTCTGCAAAAGTAGCAAGAATAAGTCAAACCTGCAGTTTCAATACGTGCTGACCTTGCCACGCAAAACCACAACAGTATGTTACTGTGTTTCGGGTGTCCTGATAGCTATTTATTTTTCTTCCCGAGGAAAGGGGTTGTTTGCTGTGGAAGTACAGCCCTCTCTCT